CTCAAGCTGCACCAGTGAATGTTCTTCCTCACCATGAAGCTTCTTTTGTAGATGACAGTTATGTCCAGCTACTCTGTATTAGTCAGGTTTTAGGATGCAAATGTCTTCCCGGCACAAGAAGGACTGTGACACATGAAGCCCAACGCAAGCAACTAAGGTTTTGCTCACCTTTAAGACTCTTGCCCTGCCCCCACATGGGTGAATTACCAAGTCACTGTTGTGCATTTCATGCCAACTCACCCTTCTGCTTAAGAGGGATTTTTCTTTTTTCCTGTTTGGTGTCTGGCTTCAAAACTTGGGATGAAGTTTTTCAATGGTATGATCTCAGGGAAGAGGCGTGTTGGGAGATTTTTAAGGCCATAATCCAGACATAAGCTCTCCTTTAATAGAAACTTTATTTCTCTACTATAATTATACAAAAAGAATTCCTGCTTTGTTCCTTCCTAACCACAGCACAGCTCAAGGTTCAGCACACTTTCAGAACTTCAGGGTAGCTCTTCAATTCTCACACCTCATCAGCAGTCACTTCCTACACTGTGTCCCGCTCAGACAGCAGCTGAGGAGTCACCAAACGCTGACAGCCAGAAGAGATGGGAGCCTCGTCACATGCATGGCCTGGGCTGAGCCCTGGGAGGTCAGTGGCTCTCTCCAGCCCTCCTGTTTTTCTGACAAGAAGTCTGCTATGAGATCTTCCCTGTATTTTTAGCAGGGTTCTCCAACCTGCCAAGGTTATAAATAGGTGGGGGTTGGGGGTGGCAGTGCGCGCCTTCCTGCATCTGTACACCCTGTACCGGATGGTCACGGCTCCCTTTCTGGCCTCCACTACAAAGTCCAGATGTCAAGTTGGGTTCGCTGGCTCCCAGCTCTGTACCCTTCCCCCCTTCTTCCTCTTCTCCAGCCAGGTGACTCCTGAAGAGGCCCCAGCAGTGCCTACACACATCCAGCTGGCAAGAGTATGACGTAAAGGTCATTTATTTTACCCTTTGGCTAGGAAGGGATAGTTCTGAGTTTCTTTTTCAGGTTCTCCATGAGTAGCAGGTTCTGCAAGGCCAGCCTCCTGCAATCTCCATCTGGATCTTTCTCCACCACATCTGTAAAAGAAGCAGCCACTATTAGCTGGAAAAAGGGAAAAACTGCCCTTCACCTAACATGTCACTGACCATCACCAAACAGCACTAAATGCAGCCACAAAGAAAACTAAGTCTGGGCTGGACACCAGCACTCACAAGAATTACATTAGACCAGAAGGCAAAGATGTCCAAACTCAATCATCTTCAGCAGTACAAGTTTAGCCGTGACTGCCATGTGCAACAATGCTCAGTTCCCTCTTGTAGCAGAAACTAGTAGTCAGTTGGGTTGAAACACCTTAGAAACCATCTGACCTTGCATTCAATGGGATAACCAAGTCACAGTTTGTGCTTATGCCCCATAGCCATTCATAACCTTTCTACAGCTGATCTACTGGCCTAAATGCTGTTTGCAATAAGAAATCCTCAAGTCTCCACTCTGCCAGTTCCCACAATCTGACCAAATGCCCTTCAAACAGGGGAGACAAGGAGGCAGGCCCCAAGTTTCAGTGCTTCTTCCATTCTGAGAGATCAGTCTGATAAACCAGCAGCTCTTTCACATTTTCTGCAGCACATAAGAGAGGACATGAAGCCGCTTCCAGCAGCTGTTATTCCAGGGGCCATTAATGGGCCTGCAAAGTACAAACCAGGATGCACGCAGGATGTCTGAGCAAGGGGAGCCTGGAAGAGCAGTGAGGCTGTGTGAGGAAATCCTGTACGCAGGAGCAGTGCTCCCAGCCGGCACTGTCAGCCCAAACACATGACTCATTCCGATGGAGCTGGGCTATTTATAGCCTCAGGGGGAGCTTCACAATGGTGCTTCCATGCTCCTTCTACAGAAGGCAAAAAGGGGGAGGCTACAAGGCAGATTAGTACAACAAGCTCAAAAGCCAAGAGACTCTGTTGGCACCGTTTCTAATTGCCATGAGCAAGGGCCTTGAAATGCTGCCACTGAAAGGGAGGCACAAGGCCCTACATGAAACAACTTGCCTACAAAACAGCTCTGCAGCACTTGCAAGGGGTGGGGAATTCCCTCAAAGGCAGCTGCTGAGGAATCAAAGGAACTGTTTCCTAGAAATGTTGAGGTATTCCCTGCCTCCCCTGAGAAAGATTAGGCTACTCAACAGTAGGTCTAAGGTGGATCCCAGCTGAAATGTCCCAAGCACCCACTAAGCAGACAGTCCTGTGGCAGTGACTGAAGCTGCCCCTTACACCACACTGCAAACACTTTCTAAGAAGGAACACTTCCAGCTACAGCCCAAAGGCCGAAGGGCAGGAACAGTCAGTCATATTCAGCCCAGAACGACAGCAGCCTGCTCAGGCTGTCATACAAGAACAAACTGGAGCAGATTTGTAGATTTCTACTAAATGTTTCATGGAGAACATTTTCTAGCCCACTGTTCCTCACTGTGCATTAGCCATAGCAGGAGAAATGTAGATGTCTCCAGCTGAAACCAAAAGTAGTGACTTCTCCTGGCCATCAGGCATGGTAGCAGAAGGCTTGTCACTTTTCCCAGCTAGAGTCAGGAAGCAACAGCAAGTCCACAAACTCAAACCCATGATTCAGCCACAAAAGTAGGTCTCTAGTGACTGACTTGACCTGTTGAAGCAGCAGAGGAGCCCAGAGCCTCCCTGTAACACAGCCTGTTTTACCAACAATCTTACAGCAAAGAGCAAAGCCACAGCCCAGGAAGGTGCTGTCCTTCAGAAAGTAGCTCCAGAAGGATGCACAAGTTTTAAATTGCACTTCCCTTGTATCTGACCAGAGCTGGAGTCAAGTTGTTTCTTTACAGTTTCTGAACAGCTCCTAGAACAACCTTCCCTGGTTGCTAGACACACAACAGTGACCCTACCCTGCTCTCATTCCCACTGAGATCTACCATGCAATTTTAATTGGCTATTACACTTATACAGGCATAAAAAGATGCTGCAGGCTCTGTTGTCCTCTTCCTTCCAATAATAACTCATTAAAAAGTGACCATGCAGACCCTCATGCTGAAAATCCATTTATAACATTCCTGGAAGGGCATTACTTGGCACAATGGTGTTAACTGTAGAGACAGGCAGGTTCCTCAGAGTAAACTGTGTCATGGGAAAAGTAAAGTTTTTGGCTCCAAAAGGCAGCTCTTCCTTTCAGAGGGCACAGAGCTCTACAGCCTGCAAAGACCAGAGGCCAGCAGTGTCAGTGTTGCTTCCTGCCTGCTCCCCGTGGGAAGCCAGCTCACTGCAGCTAAGAACGCTGAAGGAAACCACCCCAGGGAGTCTCATGAGGCCCACTCAGAACACAGTGGAGGCTTCAGAGTTGCAAAGGACACAGCATTGTTTCCTCCTGTGCTTGCACCACACTGCACCTCATCCTCAGTGTGTGCAGCTCCTGCCTACCAGAGCCCACTAGTGGGTGCAAGGTGTGCTGGGTCCAGCAGGAGGGGCCATGTGCTGTCTCTGCTAGGTTGCTCTTTCCATCAGCAGTACGAAGGCAGGAGATGAGGCCATGCTTCTCTTCTTCCTATTTTTAGCAGTAATGAAACTCATCTTCTGTGCACACACCAGCCTTGGATGTAACTGCTGCTCCAAGCCACAGCCTGCATGTTACATGCAATATGCTCCCACCTGCTGCAGCTTCTCAAGGTGGTGGTTGGAAGCTCAGAGACGGGGCACATGCTGCATTTTCACGTTTTTCTCATTGGCCCGTGGGGTGAGGACAGTCACACCTAGAAATGCCCTATGCAGCCCTTGGCTTTTGCTCTAGATACCTCAGGAACACCTCTGCACAGCACACAGCACAGGCTGGAACTTGTCCTGAAGTCAGAAGCAATAAATATGCTTGTCATGCAAATCTCTGGTGCACAACGCTAGGACATCACTGCTACCATCACAACTAGAGGTGCTGCACGAAGACTGCACTGCTACCCAGGACAACATTGGTGTAAACGCTGGTGTACACTACCACATCTTACCTCCCAACCAGGACTGAGCCTCCAAAAGCTCATCTGTCATGTCTTCCAGAAGACGCTCAGTAGGGGCGCTGAGGAGCACGGAGGAGATACAGGACAGAAGACCCTGGCGCACGTACCTGTTGGATAAAGACTGACTTGGTCAGAGGCCATGGCTTCATGCTCCACCTTGACTGCCTCACCTCAGGGGTTCTCCAGTTTCAAATGTCTGCAACTACGGTGACTTGTGCCCTGTTCCTACTGATTAGAACAGTAACAGAGTGCCCGTGAGCAGAGCCCCTGCCAGGCTGTGGAGCAGGGAGTCCAGCACAATTCACAGCCCTGGACAAGTCTGAGAGCAAACCAGAAACTGGATGTTTACAGCATTTTGCCTACATGCCTTTCCAGGGCTGAAGGCTAGAATTTAATCTAAGGTTTTCTGAGCTTCATGAATAAACAGATGAAACTATCGCATGGATGACTGATGAACAAATTTTTCATGCTTTCTACAGGTGATAACCTCCACACCAGAAGACACCAGCCAAGTCCATATGTTGGGCTGATATTAAAGCAGTGTCTTCACTACATGCCTGTGCCACACTCAGTCATAAGGACACAAGGATGGAGGAGAGAACAGAGTTAATGCATCAAGTCACTGATATTTTCAGTCTGGTGCTAGTCTTGGACAAAGACAAACCATGGCTGGAGACTGGCTCACAGCTGATCTTGGGAAATGAAAGCAGACAAGTACAACTCACGAGTCAGTGTGGAAACGCAGAGCCCAGACAAACTCCAGCAGGGCCCTTCCCATCACAGCGACTGCCTGCAAAACAGGATGATGGCAGAGCCACTGAAAACCTTCACATGCACGTCACCCCCCAGAGCTGCACCTTGAGACACACTGTTGTGAACATAGAATCTCAGGGGTTGAAAGGAACCCCTGAAGACTAAGTCCAACTCCCTTTCTGCAGCAGGAACACCTAGGGCAGGTCACACAGGAACATTTCGAGATGGGTCTTGAAAGTCACCAGAGAAGGAGACTCCACAAGCTCTCTGGGCAGCCTGTCCCAGGGCTCTGTCACCCTCACAGCAAAGAAGTTTCTCCTCATGTTGAGGTGGAACTTCCTGTGTTGTCACTTGGTGCCATGTCCCCTTGTCCTATCACAGGCACCACTGAGAAGAAACTGACCCATTCTTGACACCCACCCTGCAGATATTCATACATTAATCAGGTCCCCTCTCAGTCTTCTCCAGTCTAAAAAGCCCCAAGTCTCTCAGCCTCTCCTCATCAGACAGATGTTCCAGTCCCTTCATCATCCTTGTAGCCTCCCTTGGACTCTTTCCAGTATAGCTCTGTCCCTGTTGAACTGGGGAGCCCAGAACTGGACACAACACTCCAGATGAGGTCTCACCAGGGCAGAGTAGAGGGGGAGAAGAACCTCTCTTGACCTGCTGGCCACACTGTTCTTCATACATCCCAGGATACTATTGTCTCTTTTGGCCACAAGGGCACATTGCTGTCCCAAGGATCTCCTGTCGTCCCCAGGGTCCTTCTCCATGGAGCTGCTTTCTAGCAGGTGAACTCCCTCATCTATACTGGTGCATGGTGTATCATGGGTATAGTTCACTTTATTTTACAGATGAGGAAACTTCAAAAGTAAAGTGAAATTATGTGTCCCACCTCCCACAGGGGCTCATAGGTTTTGTACCAGAAGAAGCAAACAATAGTGCCGGGTGTCTGAACTGCATGTCTCCTTTCTGACCATTTTTCCTCAACTCTTTTCACAACTTCTTAGCACACACCACTGAAACCTGCTGCTGCCCTACATGTGGCAGGCTCCACAAGACACTGCTGTTTTAGAATGAGCTGCCAGGCTGGAAGTCTCTTCTGCCATCACATGTTCTGGTTAGAAAAGACTTTTAAGATCATCAAGTCCAACCATGACCTACAATCTGCAAGCTCACACAGCCTTTCTTACCACAGTGTTGACAGCCAAGTGCATCAGGATTGCTAAAGTGTGGACCAGTCTTCCAAGAACAAAGTGATCTTCCCCCAGGAGATCAAATGTTGTCAAGGGCCTGCAAGCGCAAGATATACATTGCTGTAGCAGTGAGAAGACTGAACAGAGCATCTCTGGAATAGCCAGGGTGGTTATGCAGGGCAAACTATCACCCCCCCTAACATGAATCCCTACAACAACAGCAATTCCACAGTCATTCCCAGTTTAACACAACCCACAGCTGTTACCTCTCATCTTTTCTCTCAGAGCAGTAATGTCCTCTGCTCTTATAGCAGGTATCATCCTACCAACAGGCTTTACTTAGGAAGAACTGAAATAAGCTGTTAGGGTGGGTATTAAACGACTGATTCTCCTGAATTGATTTCACAGCCTTCGTGAGTAAAGATTGACAATAAACTGTGTCCTGTGTCCTATAAAGTGGTCACAAGGACCAGTCCAGGCAATAGGCCCAAAGCTGAGGCAGAGTTAACTTGAGTTAAAGATGGCAGGTCTGACTTCTGTAGTTCTGTGTGAACCTCCCAAGAGGGAGAGGCAACCAAGACAACTGGTTTGGTGCTGCCACAGCCATCCACCTGGGTACCTGCCAACAGGTTATTCTTCATAATGTATCTTCACTGCTGCAGCATCTTACCTACTCCTACCAAACAAGGCTTCCTAAGTCAAAGACACAAACCCCTCCTCTCCAAGCTCTGCACATGGGCCAGGCACCCCTGTGGTGTCACAGGCTCCCACAGCCCATTGAGCCAGCAGCACAAGTCACTGGAGCTGCTAGGCCCACATCCCAGGGTGTTCACACTCACCTGTCAAAGTGCTGAATCAAGGGAAAAAAGAAGTGCCCAGCAACAGAATTGAACTCGTTGGGGTCGGAAGGCAGTTCCACCTGAGACTGACCCTGTCCAAGAGAAAAATGAAGTCTAGGCACAAGATGCAGCATCCGACTCATGCACTTTACTGGACACTGTCAAGACTGTGGATTCCTTGCAGATTCACTGCCAGCTACTGCTTCCTTGTACACCTACAGGTACTAGTTTCCAGACTGGAGGGCTCACTTCCCACTTCAGATCCTCTCACACAACTAAATTTTCAATACAATTCAGCTCAGTACAGTTGGGTTGGATATGAGAAACAAGAACATACAAAGGATAAAGAATTTTGGAAAGCAAGTTCTCCAGGATGATCCAGAGGGGAGTTCTGGGAACTAGGAAACCAGCATCAATAGGAAGACTGAGACAGTCTAGCCTGGAGGCAGCTATCCTGATGCAGGAGGCTCTCAGATGGATGAGGTGCAGTCACAGCTCCCTGCAGTGGCCAGACAAGCTCAGAACAGGCCCAAGACAGCAACAACTACCCCTCAATGCAAGGCAATGAGTTCAGAATTTATTTTCCTCTCTCTACTAGGCTAGGACTACAGAAGAGTACTCTGAGGATACTAAGAAAAAATTTCTTTCTCAAGTTACAGAGTCTTTCCTTTGAGTTGGGCTCAATTTCACACGTACATTGCTCTTTCTGAATAGAACTACAGCAACTTCTAGTGCCCCTGTTTTTGTTGGCTTTGACATTAGTTTGTTTGTGCCCTGGCCTCACCGTAGCAAACCTCCGAGTCTTGCTTTTGATCCTCTCATCAACAATCTTTCTCCAATCCTTAGAGCTGTCGCTTCCTGGAAGTAGCTGGACACAAGGTTTTTGGACACCAGAGTGCTTGGTCTTCCTATGAGACTGGGGACTGGACAGTTCCTGAGCTGCCAAAACCAATACCTAGATGAAAAAGAGGGAGGTTCTATTAAACAGGGCTAATCCTGTACTAGGGAACAACAACAGAGTTACTGGCACCCAAACTGATAGGAACAGCAAGGAAGAAAGGCAAAACAGGTTTAGAATAAAGAACAGCACAGTGACCAACCCCCAACCAACCAACTGGGTCTGAGGAACTGACCAAACACTTGGTCACTGAGCCCTGAGGCAGAACAGTGACTCCTTCTTCAGACACATTAAGTGAAATGATGCAGGAGTCACAGATTCCTGCCTCTCAGCAAGTGAAGATAGAATAGACATGTTAGGAAACAGTCCCTTCCCCCAGGCAATTGCCCATCATACTTTGTGCATCCTCTGGGGAAGGATGACCGACTGTATCACTGGGGAGCACCAGGATCACAAACAAAAGGGGAACACTAGGCACAAATACAAATAGAAGAGATTCCCATGCCCCTGTGAGAAGTAACAGGAAACCTCAGCACATCTCAGGGAAACAGCACTGGTGCAACAAAGACAGGAGGAAAGCAGGAGGTGGCCAGAAGACACTTACATCGAGAATGTCCACACGCTGACAAAGGCTGTAGTTCAGAGAGTAGAACTGGGAGGTCAAGTACTTTGCTACCTGTACAGAAAAAACAAGGCGCAATGAACACAAAGCCTGATGGGAACAGCTTTCCCACTAATTCCAAAAGCACTCAATTTCAGAAGTCCTGCTTTCTCTTAGTTAACAGCAAGCCTCCAAGAGAAGGGAAGAGACACGTTGTGAGCGTGTCCAGGGAAGGGCAAGGGAGCTTGGGATGGGGCTGCAGCACAAGTCTGAACAGGAGCAGCTGAGGGAGCTGGGGGTGTCTAGCCTGGAGACAAGGAGGTGAGGGGAGACCTGCTGGCTCTGCAGCTGCTTGAGAGGAGGTTTGAGCCAGGGGGTTTGGTTTCTGCTCCTAAGGAACAGAACAGATAGAACAAGAGGAAATGGCCTTGAGTTGCACCAGGGGAGGTTTAGACTGGATATTAGAAAAAACGTCTTCACTGAAAGGGTAATTAACACTGAACAGACTCTCCCGAGGGGTGGTTGAATCCTCGTTCCTGAAGGTGATTAAGAGATGTGATGTGGTGCTGAGGGACATGGTTTAAACAGTGGACTTGGCAGAGCTGGATTAATGGTTGGTAGAGCTAGGTGATGGTTGGAATCTATGATCTTAAAGGTCTTTTTCAACCAGAATGATTCTGTGATTCTATAATAGGAGAAATTCACAAAATTCTACCTCTAGATTCTGCAAAGGAATTAAATGACAAACCGGACTTTGCCATTCTTTTCTCCCTCCTATGAAAAAGTTCCCAAACAATGGCCATGGCAGCCTTGGCACTTTGAAAGAGACCTTATTGCAGCCTTTCTATACTTAAAGGGGGCTTATAAGAAAGATGGAAAGAGACTTTTTACCTGTTCTGTTAGGACAAGGGGTAAAAGTTTTAAACTGATAGAGGAGAGATCTAGACTGGACATAAGGAAGAAATTCTTTACTGCAGGGGTGGGAGACACTGGAACAGGTTGCCCAGAGAAGCTGCAGATTCCCCATCATAGGAAGTGTTCAAGGTAATGCTAGATGGGGCTTTGGTCTAGTGAAAGATGTCCCTGTCCAAGGCAGGCACAGCTGGAAGATCTTTAAAGGTCCCTTCCAACGAAACCATTCTGTGATTCTGTCATTACAATCACTGGCCAATTGATTCCCTTCCTCTAGGGAAGCCCTTTGTGCCTTAGCTTCCCTCCATGTAAGACAATCTCTCTTCAGTGCAACAACTCCTTATCTAATTTGCCCTACCAGGTATACTCACACTAACAGTCTCCAAACAGTTCCTCCAGACTGTTCTGACAGAGTTTTCTCTTTCCTGCTGTGTCAATCACCCATTGCAGACTCTTTCGGACCCAGCCCATCCCTGCAAAAATGCTGTCAGACACGAACTGTAGCTACTCTACCACACCCCAACAGCTGCTCCTATCAAGTTAGAAAGAGACTTCAGCTGCTTAAATTTTTGCCTGTCTCAAGTGGAAAAAGGAAAGCAGTAAGATGAACTCACAGGTATTGGATCTGTGGTTAAAACAGCTACTTGAGCTTTCTGACGGAGCTCCACAAAGCCTTCCATGCAGGTCTTCTCCTCCAGATGCAACAGTATTTTTGCCAGCTCCACACTCACCTGCTCAAAATATGAAAATAAAAGGAATCAAATCTCTGCAGGTGTTTTCTTTCTCACAGGATTTACAGACCACTTCTAATGTTTAAGCAAAGACAATGAGGGTGTGGAACGTGTCTGTTATGTAGGAGGGAGAGAAATCACAGAAAGCTAAGTGCCATCAAGACATGTCTCAAAGCACTGAACCCCATGCTGATTTCTCTCCTCACAAGCACTTGGCTTTTTGGACAAGTGGTGGCATGATGAGATAAGGAGCGTATCACTAATAGCTATAGGAGATATAACTAATGGGTAAAGGGGACAGTACCACACTCAAAGACCATCAGCAATATGTCTAATGAGCAGCAGCAGACTGCCCACTGTGTACTAGACTACACCCTTTCTCCTCAGCTGACAGAACTCTGCATCTGTCACCTTCAAGTGTTCACTAACAAGCTGTGGTGAGCACTCACCACAATAGTGACCTTGTCCCAAGTTCCTCTCACCTGAGCTTTAGAGTACAAATCTGACTACTCTCTCCAGAAGACATTATCCTTGTACAAGCAAATAGGAAAAGTCCCTTTGAATTCATCCTGCTTTTTGTTGTGGAATAACAAATTCAGTTTCAAATCAGAATTGATTCAATCCAAAATTAAAATCAATTAGTCTGTGGAGTTCATGGCTGCTCTGTGAGCTGCACTTCTAATATTTTTTCCTGCCCAACACAAAGCATGGAGCTTCCTCTGCTTCCTCAAACTACCAGCAAGCTCTACTTCATTTTCAGTGCTGAAGCTGCTAAATGTCACACTGTTGCCAGCACCTTTGCCTGCTGCTTTGTCCCTCTGTGCTCTGTAGCCTCACCTCCAAAGCTATTTCCTTCCATTTTCCTTCCCAAGTTGAAAGCCCTAAACCCAGGTGCACACCAGCCTGAACTCCTGCTATGTTGACATGTTTAGTCTCCTTATGAGTGAAAAGGGATCATCCTGTGTGACTGGTGACAACTCTTACTACTTCACCTCTCTTGTTGCTGCTGGATTCTTTCGAACCAAGCTCTCGAGAGCCTTGACTGTAGCTTCCCATTTCTCCATGTCTTCAGATCCTGTCAGGACTGAACGGGATCAAAAGACAAACAAAAACTATTAACAAAATGGTTGTGCTTGCCTACTCCCCTCAGTTTTCTTCTGCCAGTAGTTTTGTCCTGTTATAGGCAGATACCACTGACCCAGTGCATGACCAGTATTAGGAAATGAACTGAAATTACTCCAAAATTCCAGTTCAACACTCAAGCCCAGGTTACTGAAATCCTGCAGCTTCTTCAAATTAGCTTAGAAAAAAATAAACCTATAAAGAGATCACTCTCCCCAAACCAGTAAGAAACAAGATACTCATCCCAGAATCTCCTACCTTCAATACAGTCTCGAATATACACAGGAGCCTTAGTCTTTAGTTCTTTATCCTCTGACATATCATAAGGGACAAGGTCATCATCACTGCAAAAGAAATAAAGGCAGGAGTTGGTCCATGGGGTACAGAGGTCTTCCTCTGTCCAGCTATCACCACAAAACGGAAAGAACTGGCACATACATTGTTGTAACACCATCACTCTCAGACCACCCAGCAGCACTGCTGAAGCCCAGCCTGAAAGGGTTCCTGTGCCTAGAGTCCTCAGCACAGGAAAGGCATGGAGCTGTAGGTGCAGCTCCAGAGGAGACCACAAAGATGGTAAGAGGCCTGGAGCAGCTCTGCTGTGAGGACAGGCTGAGAGAGTTGGGGTTGTTCAGCCTGGAGAAGAGAAGGCTCTGGGCAGACCTTATTGTGGCCTTTCAGTACTTAAAAGGGGCTGATAGAGAAGATGGGGACAGACTTCTTAGCAGGACCAGTAGTGATAGGACAAGGGGTGATGGTCTTAACCTAAAAGAGGAGAGAGTCAAACCAGATATATGGAAGAAACTGTTTACCCTGAGGTGGTGAAGCAGTGGCCCATGTTGCCCAGAGAGGTGGCAGATGCTCAGTCCCTGGACTCATTCAAGGTCAAGTTGGACAGGGCTCTGAGCAACCTGATCTAGTTGAAGATGTCCCTGCTCACTGTAGGGGGTGTTACACTACGTAACTTTTAGAGGTCCCTTCCAACCCAAACCATTTTATCATTCTGTGAGTTCAATGGAATAAATACAATGGCTGCACATGACACAGGCTTTGCTCAAATTATTGGCTAACATACATCCATGCAATCCCCTACACAGAGTCATGCTCCATTGCAAACCCCTTGACTGCACACGATCTGCCAGGAAATACAGCTACCAATAGCTCCTTTCTCCCCATATCTGCTCTTAAGAACCTGCCATTATTTTCCACTACCTACCAGTTTCCTGCCCCATACCTGTCAAGCTCAGCATCTGACACCTCATCTGGCACCAGAGGGGCTGCTGGAGGCAAGTTCTTGTTACTCTTCAGCACCACAGGGAGTGCAGCATCTGCTTTCTCGTGCCTGCTGTGAGAAACAAGAAGCATCAAAATCAATAAAGTAACAGTCCTAATTCAAAAGCAAGAAACTACCCACACTGTCAACCCTTGATGCCTGAACAGAAAGGCAGATAATTATTTCTGGGGCAGTCTCCCACCTAGCTTGGCCTACACAACAATCAAAATCCTGGGAAAGAGAATGGGAGGGAGAGACACAATCTCTTAAGAGCAAATGGTAACAACAATTTGCTGTGTTCCCCCTGCACTAACTTATACCTAGGACTGCTAAGTAAAGACTGATCTGGGATAACTGGATCACACTGACTTGCACTATATTGTAAGCTATGAATGAAACCAAACAAAGTATAGAATCACAGAATGGTCGGGGTTGGAAGGGATTTCTGAAGATCGAGTCCAATCCCTGTGCCAGAGTAGGACTACCACAGAATCTCGGGCAGGTCACACAGAAACACATCCAGATGGGTCCTGAAGGTCTCCAGATAAGGACACTCCACAACCTCTCCGGACAGCCTGTTCCAGTGCTCCATAATCCTTACATCAAATAAGTTTTTCCTCCTTTTTTCCTTAGTTTGCATCCACTGCCCCTTGTCCAGGGGACCACTGATTGGCCTCTCCTTCTTGACACCCATCCTTCAGATAATTGTAATCATTAAGATCCCCTCTCAGTCTTCTCTTCTCCAGACTAATCAGCCCCAGGTCTCTCAGCCTTTCCTCATCAGACAGATGTTCCAGTCCCTTCATCATCCTTGTAGCCTCCGTTGGACTCTCTCAAGTATATTCCCGCCTCTCCTGAACTGGGGAGCCCAGAACTGGACACAATACTCCAGATGTGGTCTCACTAGGGCAGAGTAAAGGGGGAGGATTCTACCCAGAAGCACATAAGACCTCTAGAAACTGCAGCACGGTTTCACCATGTGCAGCTATCAAACAAGCAGTTGTGCTACACACCACCATTTGGATGATGAATTTCACCTAACCACACTGCATTGCAAGAAGGTGCATTACGACGCATAAGAATACGTAAGAAATCTTCAATACCATGAACAGTTCTAGTGTGTAACTCAAAAAAAAAGGTATGAAGAGTAAAAGTTGACATGGAGATGAACAGTAGCAATATCTTACTCATAATCTGGAAGATCAGGGACAATGAAGGATAGTGGAGTCTGCACCAGAAGGGACTTCAATTCTCTTGATTCATCATCTTCTTCATACTAGACATTCAGAATAACTGTTACTCCTCTGTGTTTGATTGCAAACATGTAAACACTTGCCTCTTCTGCTGTCTGCAAATGAAGACTGCACCATGCAGGTGAACCCACCCAAATCCCATTTGTTTCAGCCCCAGTGGTGCCAGCAGTGATATATTTTTGCTGTACAGCATCTCCAGGGACAGTGCCTCCACCACCTCCCTGGGCAGCCTGTTCCAAGGCCTCACCACTCTTTCTCTGAATAAATTTTTATCTGAGGAAAAATCTTCTGAACCTCCCCTGCTGCAACTTGACCTTATTTCCTCTTGTCCTATTGCTGGTCACCAGGGAGAAGAGACCAACACTCAGCTCACTACAACCTCCTCTCAAGCAGTTGTAGAGAGCAATGAGGTCTCCCCTCAGCCTCCTCTGCTGCCTCTCCTTATTTCCAGACAGTAAGTGTTAAATCTGTTATAATGCCCTATATAATCTGTTTTAAAGCTTTGACTTTCTCTAAGCCCTGCATACCAGGCAAATTTTATTATAACCTTCACCTGAAACTTCAGGACAGGGCCATCAGTGTTTATTTTGGAACTAATGCTCTCTGCCACTACCATTCCCAAACGCCGTATCTGCGGCAGGTTGCTGTCCAGGTGACATTTCACACCTTCCATCAGGCTTGTGAGGAGCTCTGAAACAAACCAAACAGTGAATGGAACTATGACAGAAGCAAACATCCATCTTTCTGCTGGTCTCCTGAGAAGGAATCTTTAGCCACTCATCACTCAATAATGGGCAAAGATATGAAGGGCCCACGACACTGACTCCTCTCCCTGCAAAGGCCCTTCAAGCGCCCATGACACCCTTTTTCTGTGGGTACAGAGTCAACAAAGCATTACAGTATATTCTGGTTTGGAATATTTATATTTTCACTAAAAGGACAGTAAAGACAAGCTGAAGGCTGACTTGACTTAAAGTGCTTCAAAGCCACTTAAGTGTAAGGTCATGTTTTGAGGAAGCTACAGATTGTGAGCAGTAAAACAGTCAGAGGGAGAAATTTCCCTCACCACCTAGATAAGCTGAAACAGGCAGACAACACCAGTATTTCTCAGACCAGAGAATGATTGTTGGCAGCTGTAGCAGGCAGGTTTACTGCTGTTAGACTCGCCTCCTCCAACTCAGAAAAGCTTATAATTGCAACAGCTATCAGATAAAAAACGCATAGTAAAACTACAATACTTTAAGTAAGTAAGTCACTTCACCTAAATAATTAACTCTAGAAGGAAGCAGTCAGTCTTCTTGCCCCCCAAAAGCCACACACAGAAAAGTAACTCCAGACATTGGGCAGAGCTGTTTTTATTGCAACAGAAGCAGAAATTTTCAACCAGGACCCCAGTGTGCTCTGCACTGTGTGAGTACAGAACAGGTCCCTGCTGGCAACTCACTCACTGAACCTACTCACCTCAGCCTGAGGGGAGCAGAATGACCCAGAGGAATGCACATGGGTAGTCAAGAGACTAACCCAACAGCTTTCTATCCTGATGTGCTTTCTTTCCCCTGTCCCCTCGTGCCCCAACACCACACCTATCCATTGCTAATCACACCATTCTTCTAATCAGTCCCAGAGTCAATCCTTGTTTTTCTGTGACAAAACTTAAAGGTTCCTAAACTACTGTTTGGGTAAGAACCTTAATTTAACAACACACTTCTCCAATTTCATAATTTAATATTATGAATTATGCACTTGGAATTGTATCATATCAGTGCTAAAAAGGATAACTGAAGCAGGCTTCCCCACTTGCCAAGATGAAGATGGGACAATTTTGTTTCTCCACAGATCAACACAAATCTCCCCCTGCTCGTCCCACCACTTCACCTTGTCTGCAGCTCTCAATTTCAGGCTCCTTCAGGTGGGAGAGGCAGATGAGAATGGCCTTGCTGATGTACTGCTGCTGCTCAGGTGGAGAGTGCTTCACAGCACTGCTGCTGCCCCACCTCTCCAACAATTCTTGCAGAACCTGGATCAGAGAACTCAAGCTGACTTGAAGTGGATCTTCTCTACACGTAAGTCAACTTTTTGAAGCAAATTTTTTAAAATGTGCTTTCATACAGCACTTTGTATATTTATGGAATCATAGAATAATAAAGATTGGAAAAGACCTTCAATATCATCAAGTCCAACCATCCACCCTACAACCCCCAACCACTAAATCATCTCCCTCAGCACCACGTCCACCCCTTTTTTAACATATCCAGGGACAGTGCCTCCACCACCTCCCTGGGCAGCCTGTTCCAAGGCCTCACCACTCTTTCTGGAAAGAATTTTTCCTAATATCCAATCCGAACCTCCCCTGGTGCAACTTGACCCCGTTTCCTCTTGTCCTATATTTGGTCACCAGGGAGAAGAGCCCAACACCCACCTCAAGTGCCTCCTCTCAGGCACTTGTAAAGAGCAATGAGGTCTCCCCTCAGCCTCCTCCTCTCAGGCTGAACAGCTCCAGCTCAGACTCTCCTCATCAGACCTGTTCTCCAGGCCCCTTATCATCCTCGTTGCCCTTCTCTGCCCCCTCTCCAGCACTTCCATGTCCTTCCTATCCTGTGGTGCCCAAACCTGGCCCCAGTGGTCGTGGTGCAGCCTCACCAAGGCTGAGTAGAGGAGCAGGATCAGCCCCCTGGTCCTGCTGTTCACACTGTTCCCAATGCAGGCCAGGATGCTGGTGGCCTTCTCGGCCACCTGGGCACACTGCTGGCTCATGTTCAGCTGCTGCCAAAAGACATGGGAACTCATTAAAGAGAAATGGATCTGGGACTGCTTTGGTACCCAGTGTTTGCTGAGTGGAGTTGCCATCACAATGGTGAGGACCAGGCAGAAATGTGTAAGCATTTAGATGTGAACTGAAGCACCCCCAGGTCCCTCTCTGCTGGGCAGCTCCAGCCACTCCTCCCCAAGCCTGGAGAGCTGCTGGGGTTGCTGTGGCCCTAGTGCAGGACCCAACATTTGGCTTTGCTGGAACTCCTGTCATTGGCCTTGGCCAAGCCTGTCCAGATCCCTCTGCAGAGCCTCCCTGCCCTCAAACAGACTGACATTCCTACCCAACTTAGTGTCATCTGCAAATTTCCTGAGGGGTGCACTCTGTCCCCTTATCCAGATCATCAATAAGATGTTGAACAGGAGCAGCCCCAGCAGAACCCTGGGGACACCACTCCTGACCAGCTAACAACTGGATCTTTGTGCCCCTTTGGTCTTCATGCAGCCCAGAGAACTTTACACTCCCTACAAACAGAGCTAACATTTGTATTTCAGGGCCCAAAACATAGTGTGTTTCACCAACTGAGAATTTCACACCAGCTTCATGTAATATACTGGTAAATATATATATTTTTTAAATTTTAAAGTGGCATGTTTGTTTCTCATAAATAAGAACTATATGCAAAGCAATATGTAATGTAAAAAAAAGCCCAGTATATTAGATGAGTTTACTATAGTATAATTATTATAATATATATGGATATTATATATATAATATAATATATATAATATATATAATAACATATATATATGGATATTATCTGTCAGTATTTCCCGATAAGTTTAGAACATGTAATCTGTGAAAAAATAATAATTAAATTTACAAAATGGTAGAGATTAATATATATAATAACATATAAAAATGGATATTATCTGTCAGTATTTCCCGATAAGTTTAGAACATGTAATCTGTGAAAAAATAATAATTAAATTTACAAAATGGTAGAGATTTCTAAAGACACAAGTTTCCTAGAAGCCCCATCACACTGCTGACTTGGAGATGGAAAATAACTTCAACTCCCCAGAGGGAAAGGTAGATGAGATTCTGAAGCATCAGCCTTTTGGCAGACAAACAGCTCTCAGCCAGTGTCCTCACTTGCTGCCATCTGCCCAGCCACAAAAATAGGGGATGGAGGAAGATGAGAAGGACATGGGCCATCTGTCAGAATCCAAGCCTCATTAGCTTTGCTACTTGGAAGACAATTCACGAATTATAGATGAAAAACTAACACCAGTAGCGCAGAAAGTATTTGATTTGTAGATGACAATTTACTCATGACATGATAGGGTCTCCCTCACTCTCACAAACAGTAACAAAAGTGTCTTAGATAAGTACCAAAACTGTACCAAAGTACCAAAACTACACCCTATAGGCACAAACACATGCACACTTACAAGGTAGAACTTTTTCTATCTCATTTCCATTCCATTTCCCCCTCATCAACATTCTTTAACCTTACTTTGATCAAGAAGGGTCGATGAAGACTGTCCAGGGCCAGGTAGCCAAGGAGGTTCTGCAGCACTGCTGTCTGCAATGAAAACCACTCTTGCTTTAATTGGGTAAAATGTTGCCATCCAGCAATGACAAGCGTGTCTTTGTACATGCTCAACTTCATTCTGAGGGACTGGTTGACAACATTCAGTTGTAAGGAAAAGTAAGGAAATTTTAAAAGCCAACCAAGCACTCACATGCAGTTGTGCATGAGATACATGGAAAAACAGGACAAGGATAGAGTGTAATATTTTTACTGTCAAAGCCAGATCAGGACAATCCCAGGAAACATGGAACACAGGAAGTCTACAGAATACCCCTCACAACATTACAGGCCAGAGAGAACCTCCTACCACCTTGTGACAAGCGTAAGTGTACAGGAAAAAAATTAATGCCAGTCCTTGTCTCATCTCCTCAATCTAATTCTTACCCCTGAGGTCATGGCTTCTTCTTTCAGATTCTAAGCTAACTAGATGGCTCCAGCTCTCCAGCACACCAAAATCATGTGCAAGTAACCATCTAGTCCCAGAAATAAAGAGTACAGTAATTCTGCTAACTGCCATCAACCCTAAGAAAGCACAAGAAACCCATGAGTTCAAAGGAACCTTCTACCACTCCCTCTTTAGGTTCAGCTGCACATGATATGAGGAGCTGCACAGCTCAGGTATGTGTGAAGAGACTGAGGGCTGATTTCAGAACAATCCTTGAGAAGAACTGGAGCTCAGCTGGAAAGCACATTGGCATTTCGGAAAACCAGGCATTACTAGGGAGCTGTTCAAGGCAGAGTCCTTACCGTGTGGCCATATTGCAAGAGCAGAAGCTTCTGCATCATCACAAACTGAGCTTTCTTGTTTTTCACAACCAGGTTCCCCAGCAACCTAGACAAGACCTCTGCTCTAGCAAGACAGGTCAAAAGCAAAATGTTAGGAATCCATGTAGTTACTGTCATGCTGCTGCTAATCACAGAAAATTCTGTGAGCAGCTATTTTCAACAAGGTCACTGAAGCACCTCTGAACTGTAAGAGCGAGTCAGTAATTGCACAGAATGCTTTCATTTTTTTTTTCACTGCATGTAACAATGCAGATCTTTAAGGAATGGGGCAGGTTCTACCCAAGAGGGAACAATCAGCTTCTTTACCCCTAGAGTCTCTCAGGAAATGGCACTGCAAGAAACTCCTACACAAATACACACATGTCAACACAGTTCAGAAACTGATGCTGCAAAGACTTGTGAAAAACTTCCTGTCTTTGCTCTGGATCAGGATGAAAGCAGAGTTCTTACCCAGGTGCTCTCTGCACAAAGCCAAGGACCACGGCTTCCATCCAGCGCTCTGGCACACGTTCAACCAGTCGCCAGCACATTCTCTGCCAGATGCAGTCTGACCTGGTGAGATCAACTAGGCGAGGTACCAAAACACCCAGAAGTTCTTCTGAAGTGGAAAGAAAACAGGTAAATACACCAGATGGCCAGACCTCATGCAACAGTTCTTGAGGTCAGCCTGCAAATGTCAAGATCCTTATGAGATGAAGAAATACAATGTACAGTTTGCAGTTCTGAATTGTTCCTGTAGTAAAAATTAAGCCAAAGAGCCTAAGGAACTTAACAAGTATTTCTTATCACAGCAGACAGGTAGAATATTTTTCCTTTTCTTCACCAGCTCTATTACCTACTGCTGCATTCAGTGGTTTCAAAGTCCTAGGCAAAGCCAGACTGAAGGCTACTCGGATGAGAGAGTTATTAGATACGAGCAATGACTTATGCTGGTATTTGCAAGGCACTTTCAGACCACTGGATGAAAACCTCTAGAAGAGCATTTCATAGTTATGCCCCAAATGGTGGGATGAGGCTCATAACCTCATTGATTTTTAAGAGAAAAGATGATGCTCATGTGAGGGGACAGAAAAGCACTGACACCCATCAGATGTGCAGTCCAGCAGCCTCAGAAAGCAGTCTGTCCAGTCCAGCTCCCCAAACCCCCAAAGTATTCACTGGTCACACTCCCACTCCCTGTGTATCATCACCACATTCACCCTCTGCACTAATAGAGTAAAAACAGACCTTCCCCCTCCCGCAAATAGTGTTGTCAAACACTCACTTTGTCTCCCATGAGCACACACCTTCCCTAGGACATGAGAAACAAAAGAAATGGAGCAGTCCAAGCCATCTGGAATAAAACAGACACAAGCTTAACAAAAGCATCACCACCATCCACCTAAGAGCCTTCAGAGAAAGATTTTACAACTACTGAAGCGTGGAAACTTCAAGCATCATCTCTTCCTCCCTCCACCACCTACCTTCACACAAAAAATGGCACCTAGTATTTATACACAGTGGTGACAGTCAGGAAGACTAAAGTAGCTCAGTCCCACTTTATCAAAATGGTAACAAAGTCACTGGTTCACTCAGTACTGTTTAAATCTTTCATACAACTACCTCAGCAGAGAGCAAGTGACCTCAATTAAGCTTTGACAACAGATGCTCCTATTTAACAGCTTGCAGGATTGCAGCTTTCAGTGGGATTTTAAAAAGCTTCAACCATCTCCCTCATTCCTGGTATCTTATGCTTTTAAGCACAATGACCTTCAGGCTGAAGGAGGAAGGGGTGGCTCTGCAACACCCATTCTCTATACCTCACACTACACACTTCTGCAGAAGACCTGCCCAGCCCTCCTGCAATCTTACCTCTTAGAGACTCGGAGATCTTCTGCAGCACCTGGATAATTGCATCACCCAAGAGAGGAAAGTAGTTCTGTGGGAAGAATACTGGTGGGTTTTTTCCCTGGAGTTTGTTGCTGACATGATCAGGCAAACACACAACCCTGTTGAGCAGGGCCTCCTGCAGCTCGGGCAGGGCTGCCTGTGCCTGGTGCTGACACATCTCCCACATCAGGGCCCAGATCCGCCCCTCCTGCAGGAACTGTTCCAGCACTTCCACCACCTCCTCCGGATGAAAGCTGAGACTGGAAGAAAGTAACTGGATTAAGTCCCTGTTCCTTTTTAACTTCTAAAAAAAAAAATAATAAATTTTAAAAATGCACACACGATTGTTTTTCTGCTGTGGTCCCACCACTGCAACTCTGCTGCTGTCACACACAGTTTTAACCGAAATCAAATTAAAATCAAAGCAATTTTAATCCTTTTGTATCCCCACAGTCTCCTCAGCTCCTAACGTGCCCAGGTTTTCAGTGCGTGTCACCGAGGGCAACTCTGAGCCCTGCGGGACCCATCGGCGCTGCGGGGCGGGAACCGGCCCGGCCGCCCCGCACCCACCGCCAGCTCCGTCCCCCTGCACGTTTCTGACCCCGGCGGGGCAAGAT